GTTTTTTCTCCGGTAATTCTTGTTCTTTCTTCCCTTTCTCTTTCCTTTTTTCGGTATGTCGAACCTTTCGAACCCAACAACGTTTTCCGGCGAGGGTAAGAGACTGACGGCGGAGGAGACCGGCGAGATCGTGGTTTATTCTCCGCCGGCGGTGGAGGCGGCTCAACCTCTCCGGGTGACGCCGATTATAGCCGTCCGCGTGACCCGGCCGTCGGCGGCGGCGGCCGACCCGCTAGGGGAGATGCCCTCACAGATCCCGGTGGTCGATGTCGTTGACCTCGGCTCCAGCCTGTCCGACGGCGGAGATAAGGCTATCCCGGATGGCGGGCCCTCTGACAGCGACTCGGATGTCGACCCCGGCCTAGTCGAGGAGACTCTTCAGGGCGAGACCGACGGGCGCGAACGGGTCCCTATGGGACTGGGCGATTCCGAGACCGACGCCGCTGTTGAAGCCGCTACGTCGGCCCCTCCTGGGAGCTGGCGCCGCCCCCCTCGCTCGTGGCCAACTGCCACCAAGATGTCGGCCTGGAATACGCCGTCCATACTGGGGGACGTCGACCTGGTCAGGCTGCGGGGCAAGGTGAGTTTTGGCCCCGACATACAGATCTTCGCCCCGTACGCCGGCGAGCGCATCCACTGTCCTCCGCCGGGCGGCATTGGAGTTTACCGCCATAGCATTCGTCTCGGGCTCCGATTTCCTCTGCCCGGCATTTTGAGTGACATTCTGAGCGACCTCGGCATCGGGATCAGCCAGCTCGTGCCCACGGTCTTTGCGCGGCTGATGGGCTTGATCGTTTTGTTCCGTAAGCAAGGCTGGGCTGACCCCACGAGCGCGGATATCCGGGCTCTCTTTATCTTCAAGAAGTCCGGCACCACCGGCAATTTCGACAGGAAAGACATCCTGCTGGCCATCTTCTTCCTTTCGCGTAAGGGTTGCGGGTTGGCGTGAACGGGTTTGTTGGCCTCTCTCACGGAACGGAGCCCGCACTCTCGGAGTAAGGGATAATAAATTGTCAACCAACTCGAGATCAGATGCCGGACTCAAAAATAAAAAATAATAAAGATGAATAGCCGTGAAGCGGAAATTACCTGGGATGGAGTAGCCGGTCTTGGAGTCTGAGCAGAGGCCGTAGGTGATCAAACTCTCTTCCGAAATCAAGTCGCGATAAAAGCGCTCCTCCTCGTCAAGTGCCAGCAAAGTGCCGATCTTCTCCGCTAGGTCGTCGCTGGCGTCGAAGTGAGGGTTGTGGACTGAAATGGAAATACCGACCTGTTAGCACAGAAAAAACGCACATAATTAGAGAAAGGAGAGGAACAGCATGACACTCACATTTGCCGGATATGAAGCCGGTGTACGGGTGAAGGGTTGCGTCCGGCGCCTGCCATGCGTCGGAGACCCAGAACCATTCCGGCATGTAGCCGTGCAGCGACTCCGGGATTTTGTTCACCAGGGACCGGTCCACCCCGGGAGCGACTGAGCTATAATGTGCTTTAACTGAAACAAAAAAAAGAGGGGCGAAGGTTAAAAAATAAGAAATAAGACTCGACGTCATAAGGAGACTAAGCAGCTTACGGGGATCATCGAGGGCTACGTCAAGGGCGTCCTTCTTTAAACTCGGCCAGTAGTAGCCCTGTCTAAGGACCTTGTGTGCGAGGGCGTAACCTCCTGAGTGGTTTCCGCATATGCCTTCGTGGATTTCTTTAAGTATGTACTCGGCGCTCCTTTCATCTACGCATTTGAGCAAAGGCGCCGAGAAGCCCCGTTTGAATAGTTCTCCGGCTACCATCGTAAACCGGGCTGCTCGGGTGCGAAGCTGCCTGGCTTCTTTTGGGTCCGGCGGCAGCACACCGGCTTCGAGGTACGAACGGATTGGAACCATCCAGCCCGGATCTTGATTTTCCACCCCCTGCTCGGCACTTAGCACAGAGGCGCCGGACACGGAGGGCTGCTCCTTGTGCCCGACCTGGACATATTCGACACTTTCCACCCTGGCACTTGAGGCGAGGCGGGCCAGGGCGTCGGCTTGTACGTTCTCGGTTCGAGGAA